GCTGAAAAGTACAATAAATGAAATGAAAATTCACTACAGGGTTACAATAGCAGATTCAAGCAGGCAAAAAAAAAAAGGGTAAACTTTAAGATGTGTCAATTAAAAGTATCCAATTTGAGGGGCATAAAGAATGAAGAAAAATGACCAGAGTCTAAGATACCTATGGGAACCATCAAGCAAATCAACATATGCATTATAGGGTAGGAGTCCCAGAAGGAGAGGAGAAAGGAGCTGGAAGAATATTTAAAGAAATGGCCAAAAATCTCCCAAATTTGATAAAAGGCAGAAATATACACATCCAAGAAGTTCAAAAATCTCCAAGAAGGAGAAACACAAAGAGATCCACATCAAGACATTATAATCAAATTGTGAAAAGACAAGAAGAGAATCTCGAGAGCTGTGAGAGATTTGTCACACACAAGAAGAGATCCTTACTAACATTAACAGCTGCATTCTCATGAAAAACTATGGAGGTCAGAGACAGTGGGATGACATATTCAAAGTGCTGAAATAAAAAGACTGTCTAACAAGAATTCTGTATCTGGCAAAACTATCCTTCAAAACTGAAGAAGAAAGTAAGACATTTCCAGATAAATGCTGAAGGAGTCTGTCACTAGCAGACCTACTCTATAAGGAATGCTAAAGGGAGTCCTTCAGGCTGAAATGAAAGGACACTGGATGGTAACTCGAAGCAACAAGAAGAAATCAAGAACTCAGATAAATGTAACTACATGGGTAAATATAAAAGCCAGTATTATCACATTTTTGGTTCTTAGCTCTTTTTTTCTATAAGATTTAAAAGACAAATGCATGCAACAATAATCATAATCTATAATAATGGGCATAATGTGTATAAAGATATAATTTGTGACAGTAACAACATAAGGGAGGGGACAGAGCTTTATAGGAGCAGAGTTTTGCATGCTATTGAAGCTAAGTTGGTAACAATTTAAACTAGATTGTCATATATTTAGGTGGAAACAACCCAAGTGTCAATGGAAGAATGGATAAATAGAATGTGATAAATACATACAATGGAATATTACTCAGCCATAAAAAAGGAGTGAAATACTGATACATGCTACAATGTGTAGGAACCGAAAAAAAATTACGCTAAGTGAAGGAAGCCAGACACAAAAGGTCACATATCGTATGATTGCATTTATTTGAAATATCCAGAATAGGTAAATTCATAGAGACAGAGAGCAAATTGGTGGTTGCCAAGGACTACGATGTGGGGAAAATAGGGAATGACTGTTTAATGGGTATGGGGTTTCCTTTTGGGGTGATGAAAATTTTTTGCAAGTGGTGGCTGCACAACATTGTGAATGTACTAAATGCCACTGGATTGTACATTTTAAAATGGTTAATTTTAAGTTACATGAATTTCATCTTAATTTTTTTAAAAAAAGAAGAAAAAGCCCTAATCATGCAGAAACATAAAAATATTCACATTGTCTCACAGTTATACACAAGCATTTTAAAAAAACAGGACAGGGCCAGCCCCATGTCCTAGTGGTTAAGTTCGTGTGCTCCACTTTAGTGGCCCAGGGTTTCAGCAGTTCAGATCCTGGGTGTGGACCAGCACTGCTCATCAAGCCATGCTGAGGTGGCGTTCCACATAGCAGAGCAAGAAGGACCTACAACTAGAATATACAACTACGTACTGAGGGGCTTTGGGGAGAAGAAAAAGAAAAAAGAAAAAAGAAGATTAGCAACAGATGTTAGCTCAGGTGCCAATCTTTAAAAAAGACCACAAGAAATACAAGAGGAAAATATCAGTACGCAGTGCACAGAGTAAGTGTAAGTAATGTTTTAAAAACTCTTGCTTTAGTTACACGAATTTTCACATTTATTAGGCTACAATGTAAAACATATCTCTTACTGTGGGTTGCAACAAAAAAAAACTGAAAATGAACTCCTTCTATAATCTTTTAATTTTCCTTCTGTGGCAGCCATGGCGTGTGCAGTTCCGATCTCCTTCCATGAGAGAGCATCCTTGCTGCATGAGGAGTGCAGTTAGCCGACAGCCTCCAACTGCATTGCTGTCAGGATCTGATAAGCCTTTGACTTCAATAAATGGTGCTGGGAAAGCTGGAGAGGCGCCTGCAAAAGAATGAAACTGGACCACTATCTTACACCATTTACACAAAATTTAACTCAAAATGGAGTTTTTGACTTGAAACTATGAAACTCCCAGAAGAAAACTGAGTCAGTAAGCTCTTTGACATAGGTCTTAGTGATGATATTTTGGATTTGACACCAAAAGCACAGGCAACAAAAGCAAAAATAAACAGGTGAGACTACATCAAACTAAAAAAGCTTCCACACAGCAAAAGAAACCATCAATGAAAATGAAAACATAACCTAAAGAAGCGGGGAGAAAATATTTGCAAATCACGTAACTGAGGGGTCAATATCCAAAATACATAAAGAACTCATACAACTCAATAACAAAAAAATAACAAACCTGCTTAAAAAACGGGCAGAAAAACTGAAGACATTTTTCCAAAGGAGATATACAAACGGCCGACAGGTAGAGGAAATAGTGCTCAACATTACTAATCCTCAGGGAAATGCAAATTAAAACCACAGTGAGCCATCACCTCACACCTGTTAGAATGGCCGTCATCAAAAAGACAAGAGATAACAAGTGTTGGCAAGGATATAGAGAAAAGGGAACACTTGTGCACTGTTGGTGGGAATGTAAATTGGTGCAGCCACTATGGAAAACAGTATGGAGGTTCCCCAAAAAGTTAAAAATAGAACTACCTATGATCCAGCAATTCCACTGCTGGGTATATATCTGAAGGATACGAAATTGAAGAGAGAGCTGCACTCTTATGTTCATTACAGCATTATTTACAATAGCCAAGAAATGGAAACAACATAAGTATCCATTGATGGATAAATGAACAAAGAAAATGTGGCGCATATATATACATATATACAATGGCATACTAAGCAGCCACAAAACAGAAGGAAATCCTGCCATTTGTACCTGGATGGAACTTGAGGGCATTATGCTAAGTGAAACGTCAGACAGAGAAAGACAAATATTGTATGATATCACTCATATGTGGAATCTAAAAGAAGAAAAAACACTAAACTCATAGATACAGAGAACAGACTGGTGGTTGCCAGAAGCGGGGAGGAGGGGGTGGGTGAAATGGGTAAAGGGGATCAAAAGGCACAAACTTCCAGTTACAAAATAAATAAGTCCTGGGGAAGTACTGTACGGCATGGTGACCACAGTTAACAATACTATATTGTATATTTAAAAGGTGCTAAGAGAATACATCTTAAAGGTTCTCACAAGGTAAAAAATTTTGTAACTACTTGTGGTGATGGATGTTAACTAGACATACTGTGGTGATCATTTCTCAACATACACATCTATCAAATCATTACGCTGTATACCCGCAACTAATATAATGCTATATGTCAATTATATCTGGATTAAAAAACCTTATAATTAAAAAAATTTTTTCTTAAGTTTTTGAGCCAAGGCCATGTTCTTCCCAGGCTGCCTCCAGCCTGACAGATCCCAGGGCCTGCTCGCTTCTGCCCACTACAGGCCTCCTCTGATGGGCTACCCCAAATCTCCCTATCGGGCCACCCAACACTTTGTCAAATCTGCATCACAATCTTAGGCTCCCTCTGCCCAATTCGGCTTCCTTCTCCCTTTTCCTTTCTCAAATGCCAGATCTGCATCAAGGTCTGAAGATCCACCAGCCCCAACCCTTCTTCCTCCCCTTCAACGTTCACGGGCCTTACCCCCCAGTAAATTTCTTGTACTCCTAACTCCACTTCACCATCAGCCTCATGCAGGATCTGAACTGACACATTTTCACGGCACTGACTACAATCTACAAGGACACATCTGTGCGTTTGTATAACGTCTCTATCACACAGCACTCTCCTTGGCAGTCTTTTCCACTGAAGGGTCCTCCTCTCACACAGCCTGGAGAACCGCCCTGTTGACTCCATCCTCACCCCTCCTCTAGGCCCAGACGGCCAGTAGTGGTTGTGCCGTGGGACCTGAGAGCTGAGAGAGAGAGGAGACTAAACTCCTGTTTCAGGGCTACACCTTCCAAGAGCAGGATTTCTCAACCTTGGCAGTATTGACATGTTAGACTGCATACTTGTTCGTAATGGAGGGGGCTGTCCTGCACATTGTAGGATGTTTAGTGGCATTCCCGTCCTCTAATCACTAGATGCCAGTGGCACCCTTCTCAGTTGTGACCATCATAACTGTCTCCAGCCACTGCCAAATGTCCCCAGGGTGGGGGGCAAAATCACCCCTAGTTGAGAACCATTGGGCTTGAAGAAAGAGCATCTTTTTTCTAATTCTCCCCAAAATGCCGCACGGTCAATTAGTACCCCTGCTAGAACTTCCCATGGTCCTGGGAATATTCTTCCCAGCTAAGCAGATCCAGACGCCCTGGCAGCAACCGCCACACAGCGTGAGGCTTCCAGTCCCTTCCTCCTGTCTGTCCTCTGGCCCCTAAGTGCATGTGTTCCCATGAGTCAGAGATGCAGGACGGGACACATGATCCCAGGCGGCTGACTGTGGCCCGGAGAAGCTCTCCCCTCCTTGCCAACTGAAACCTAAACGAGGCCCATCCAGGGCAGCAGGCTGCTGTCCCCAACGGACAGATGAACGTCGGCCTTGGCCTCTATGCTTTCTCGTCACACTTTGTTATCCACGAACTGTTTTATCCACTTTTGCTTGGAAAACCATCAGTCATCCTTCCTTGTTGCTGTTCACCCTGGAGCAGCCTATATACGTTAGTTACTTCTCCCATGAGAAGTGGCTAATTGAAAAAATAAAAGTCTACAATTCTGAGCATCTGCCTTCATATTTCAAGGTTCCTATTTTGGCTGAACACGTGAGCCATGGCGATTTCCATCATGAGCCAGAAACCGGTCATAACTCTACTGCAGACGCTCTGGAGTATGAATGCCTATCTCTTCAAATCCTTCTACCCCACAAAACGTTTTTCACACGTGTCACTGAACCTGTATTTTAAGTCTGCCTTTTGCCACAAATTTGGGGCAGATCCGCGTCCAGCCATTGTCCACTAGGCTGCGCAGGGAGAAGCTCCATTTTGTCTCTGTCGATTTGCTCCCCTCCCCCACTCCCAACTAGTTTCTTTTCCTTCCTTGCATTCATTTGCATGCTTTACATTTATATTTTGGATTCCGAATATTCGGTGTGCACAGGATGTAGTGGATGCAGGATTTAGAAGAGGGGACTGGAAAAGTCACTTTAACAAATTAATGCATTACGACTATTTCAGTCCAGTCGTTAAGGGAGAAGCGCGATACAGGACTCTGGGATGCTGAGGGAATTTTCTTGGGTGAGGAATAAACTAAACTCTCCCGCCCGCAGTGCAGCCTCGGCGGGAGGAGGGCGGGACGCCAGGAGGGAAGACCCGGGATGGCGCCGGAAGGGGTTTAGGGCCGGGAACTTGCTCCTCCTGCCGCGCCTCCTTGCCCGCCCCTAGCAGAGCATCGTTGGGCGCCGGCTAAAGAGGGCTCGGCCTGAGCGCCACTGTCACAAACGGCGTCGCACCCCCGAGTGTCAGGGTGAGTGCTTTCAGAATGCGAGACGAACGGGCTCAAAGACATCACACTGCCCGAGGGAACAGCTCACACTGAACACGCCGGGGCAAGTGCAACTCTGCATTCAGCCCGCCATCCCCTCAAGAACACAACGCTGCTCCCCAGTCTCCAACATCGGACGGCCTCAGAAAAGGAAAAGCTCCCTCAGAAGCGCTCAGCAACCAATCTCCTCAGACGTGCTGGAAACGGCCCACTCAGCGCCGCGAGCCAGCACACCCGGCCTGGCAGGCGGGGAGCCGGCGAGGGCCAAACTTAGTAAACCGCGGTCACGCCGGGGCGCGCAGGCGGCGTCAGACGCCCGCCTTCCCGCCGCAGAGCATAACGGGAGGAGCGGCGGCTCGCGGGGCGGGCGCGCGCCTTCCGAACACGAAACGACCCCTGCGGACGGCCAGAGGGGTGTGCCCGGTGCGGTGGCCGCTCGGAGCCGTGCCCACTTTTTGTGGAAACAACGCTGCCCACGCTGCGCGGGGGCCCGTCCCCAGTTCCCCTGCGTCCCCATGAGACGCACGCTGACGCAGTTTCTGAGCGCGCCAATCGCGAGCGGGCTGGGGGGCGGGCGCTTCCAATTTGAATTCCCCAGTGTGGCGGGTGTCGCGAACCTCCCGAGGTGTGCGGGGTCGCCTGGGGCCGAGGCGCGAGCGCTGGGGCGCCGGCCCCCACCGCGAAGCCGAGCCCGGACGGCCGCCGCCGCCGCCGCGCCCCGCCAGGCCCTCGGCCGAGGTACGGTCCCCGGCCGCTCCGCGCCGCCCGCCCCTGTGGCGCGGCGGGTCCCCCGGCCGTTCCCGGCCCCGCGGGCGTGTCGGTGTCCGGCTGCGGCGGTGCTGTCGCAGCTCCGCGTTCGCTCGGGGTGTATTTGTTGCGTGTCGGCTGCAGTTACCGAGAGTAGACCACCTTCCTTCAGGTTCGTTCCGAGGGTGAGCGCTCCAGGCCTTTGTCCTGAAGTCGCTTCCGGAGAAATACCTGTACTTTAGAGGGAGCGCCAAGTGGGAAAGTCGTGCGCGTCACTGCCCGAGGCCTCCCCTGGGGACCCGGGGCCGCACGGCTCTAGAAACACCGGATCCATCTAGTTTGTGTTTTCTTCGGATTAAATGACGCGTTGGTTTCAAACATCTTCAGATGTTAAGAAATTATTTAGAAAATGAAACACTTTCCAGATTTTTTCCCTACGCTCATTATGCTCCCGTGTGTGTTTTGGTCTTTTACAGAGATGCAATTGTCCTTGCTGTTCTACTGCTTTCTTTTTTTATTTCGTATATCCTGGCTAGTTCCTATGCCAGTACATGTATGCATCTTTTTATTGAATAGGTAGAATTCAGGTGTACGGCTGTAGCAGAATTTCGTCCCGTATTGGTGGTGGACGTCCAGGTTGTTGCTAATCTCCCCACTACTTCAGTGGACCTCCTTGTATAGTGCCTGTTGGTGAAGAACTTGGGCCCTGAAGTCAGATAGGCTTGGGTCCTGCTTTAATCACCGTCAGTAGGACCTTGGGCGGGTTATTTGACCATCTTTGCCTTAGTTTCCTCATCTTCACAATGGAAGTAACAGTACTTAAGTCTGAAGAATGCTGTAAGATTATGCAATGTCTGGCGTATATGCAGTCAATATTCAGTGTTGTGACCGCATGTATATTTGCCTTCTTATGTTTCTGTAAGAAAAATTTACAAGTGCAATTTCTTGATCAACAGCGTGTGCATCTATGTTTTGAAATTAATCTTTACCAACCTGATAAGCATAAGAAGTCTCACTGTTTTAATTTGCATCTCTTTGTTAGTTTAATTTATTAGTAAAATGGAGTATCATTTGATTCATTGGCCTTTTGTATTCTTTCTGTTAATTGCCTTTCATGTCCTTTGGTCATTTTGTGTGTTGATCATTTTGTTGTTGAGAATTTACTTTGGATCTTGTACTAAGCCCTTATAAGCATTACATCATAATTCTCACAAGAACCTTATGTGGTTATATATCTTTCTTTTTTACTTATTTTATTAAGGTCGTGTTGACTTAAAACATTGTGCAAAGTTCAGGTGTACATTATTATATTTCAGTTTATTTATTTTTATATTTATATTTATTATATTATATAATTATATTAATTATATTATATATTATATTATTATAATATTCAATATTATATTTCATGCAGTATAGACTGCATGGCGTTCACCACCAATAGTCTAGTTTTTATCCATCATCATACACATGTGTCCTTTTACCCCTTTCGCCTTCCCCCAACCCCCTTCTCCTCTGGTAACCACTAATCTGTTCCCCTTATCTATGTGTATGTTCATCTTCCACATAGGCGTGAAGTCGTACAGTATTTATTTTTTCTGTCTGACTTATTTCACTTAGCATAATACCCTGAGGGACCATCCGTGTTGTCACAAACGACACTATTTTGTCTCTTCTTATGGCTGAGTAGTGTTCTACTGTATATATACCACATCTTCTATATCCATTCATCTGTTGATGGGCACTTGGGTTGTTTCCACATCTTGGCTATTGTGAGTTATGATGCAATGAACATAGCCATGCATAAATCTTGTATTGATTTCCTGCTTTTTGGATAAATACCTAGTAGTGGAATGGCTGGATCACATGGTATTTCTGTTTTTAATTTTTTCAGAAATCTCCATATGGTTTTCCATAGTGGCTGCCCCAGTTTGCACTCCCACCAGCGGCGTATAAGGGTTCCCTTCTCTCCACATACTCTCCAACACTTATTTCTTGTCTTGTTAATTATAATCATTCTGAGATGTGTGAAGTGATGATATCTCATTGTGGTTTTGATTTGCATTTCCCTAATAATTAGTAATGTTGAACATCTTTTCTTGTGTTTGTTGGCCATCTGTATATCTTCTTTGGAAAAATGTCTGCTCATATCCTCTATGGTTTTTTTTTTTTTATGAGAAAGCTTACCCTGAGCTAACATCTCTTCCCAACCTTCCTCCTTTTTCTGCTTGAGGAGGATTGGTCCTGAGCTAAAATCTGTGCCAGTCTTCCTCTATTTTATACATGGGTTGCTGCCTCAGCATGGCTGGTGAGTGGTGTAGGCCCGTGCCTGAGATCCGAACCGGTGAACCGGGGTGGCTGAAGCAGAGCATGCCAAACTCTTAACTAGTACACATGGGGCTGGCCTCCTCTGCCCATTTTTTGATCAGGTTGTTTTTTTGTTGTTGTTGAGTTGTATGAGTTCTTTATATATTTTGGAAATTAACCGCTTATTGGATATGTGATTTGCAAATATTGTCTCCCAGTTGTTAGGTTGTCCTTTCGTTTTGTTGATGGTTTCCTTTGCCTTGCAGAAGCTTTTTAGTCTGATGTAGTCCCGTTTGTTTATTTTGTCTTTTGTTTCCCTTGCCCCGTCAGACATGGTATTCGAAAAGATACTGCTAAGACCAATGTCAAAGACCTTACTGCCTATGTTTTCTTCTAGAAGTTTCATGGTTTCAGGTCTTACATTCAAGTCTTTAATCCTTTTGGAGTTAATTTTTGTGTATGGCAAAAGATAATGATCTACTTTCATTCTTTTGCATGTGGCTGTCCAGTTTTCCCAGCACCATTTATTGAAGAGACTTTCCTTCCTCCATTGTATGTTCTTGGTTCCTTTGTAGAAGATTAGCTGTCCATAGATATATGGTTTTATTTCTGGGCTCTCAACTCTGTTCCATTGATCTGTGTGTCTGTTTTTCTGTCAGTACCATCCTGTTTGATTACTATAGCCTTGTAGTATGTTTTGAAGGCAGGGAGTGTGATGCCTCCACCTTTGTTCTTTTTTTTTCTTTACAGGGGAATGTTCGCCCTAAACTAACATCTGTTGCCAATCTTCCGCCTTTTTGCTCCCTCCTCCCCCTCCCCCAAACCCCCAGTACATAGTTCTGTATAATTGTAAGTTCTTCTGGTTCTTTTTTGTGAACCACCTCCACAACATGGCTACTGACAGATGAGCGGTGTGGTTCCACACACAGGAACCAAACCTGGGATGCCAAAACAGAGTGCGCCAAACTTTAACCACTAGGCCATCTGGGCTGGCTCACCAGCTTTGTTCCTTTTTCTCAGGATTGCTTTGGCTATTCAGGGTCTTTTGTTGTTCCATATAAATTTTAGGATTCTTTGTTCTATTTCCGTGAAGAGTGTCATTGGGATCCTGATTGGAATTGCATTGAATCTGTAGATTGCTTTAGATAATATGGACATTTTAACTATATTTATTCTACCCAATCCATGAGCATGGACTATCTTTCCATTTCTTCATGTCTCCTTTGATTTGTTTCAATAGTGTGTTATAGTTTTCAGTGTATAGGTCTTTCTCCTCCTTGGTTAAATTTAGTCCTGGATATTTTATTCTTTTTGCTGAAATTGTAAATAGGCTTCTATCCTTGATTTCTCTCTTTGCAAGTTCATTATTAGTGTATAGAAATGTGACTGATTTCTGTATGTTGATTTTGTACCCAGCAACTTTACTGTATTTGTTGATTATTTCTAATAATTTTTGGTGGATTCTTTAGAGTTTTCCATATATAAAGTCATATCATCCACAAATAGTGAGTTTTACTTCTTCTTTCCAATTTGGATCCCTTTTATTTTTTTTCCTTGCCTAATTGCTCTGGCTAAAACTTCCAGTATTATGTTGAGTAAGAGTGACGAGTGTGGGCATCCTTGTTTTGTTTCTGTTCTCAGAAGAATAGTTTTCAGTTTTTTCCCATTGAGTATGATGTTAGCTGTGGGTTTGTCATATATGGTCTTTATTATGTTGAGGTACTTTCTTAATATACCCATTTTATTGAGGGTTTTAATCATAAATGGATATTGGATCTTGTCAAATCCTTTCTCTGCAGCTCTTGAGATGATCATGTGATTTTTATTCTTCATTTTGTTAATGTGGTGTATCACATTGATGATTTGCAGATGTTGAACCATCCCTGCAACCCTGGAATAAATCCCACATGATTGTGATGTGTGATGCT